AAAGTCAAAGTATCGACAAGCTCTGAGCAAGAATGACGCCAACAGGCGGCTGGCATTGTGACACAGCTAGCCAAGCTGCCACCTGTGATGCCAACATCTCCTACGGGTGCAGATTTGAGTGCTGGCTGTTGCATTTCCAATCCAGCTCTCTGCTAATGTGCATGGGAACGCAGTGCCAGATAGCCCAAGTGCTTGGGGCCCTGCACCTACGCGGCAGACCTGGAAGCAGCTTTGGCTCAGCCCAGCCCTGGCCACTATAGTCATTTGGGGAGTAAACCAGTGGACAGAAGATCTCTCTCTCTCTCTCTCTGCCTCTCCTTATCTCTCTCTCTATAACTGCTTTTCAAATAAATAAATCTTTATAAAGAAAAAAGACCAAGAAAAAAAGACTCAAATGAGATAAGAAAGAGGGGATACCACTACCAACCTTGTGGAAATAAGAGAGGTTATAAAGAAACATTGTAAACAAGCACATGCCCAAAGAGTAGAAAGCTTATACAAACTATGGAAACTGACTCACACAGAAATATACACCCTGAACATACCTGGAAGGAGTACTGGCTGAAGCAGAAATAACAAAGCTACCTACAAAGAAAAACCCAGGCCCCAGGCAGCTTCACAGGAGATTCTAAAGCCTTGATAAAACCAGAAGAGGAGGAAAACTTCCAAACTCATTCTATGAGGCCAGTATTAACCCGATACCGAAACCACACGCAAGAAAAAAAAAAAAAAAAAAAGAAAAAAGAAAAAGAGCTTGCACTAATGTGATATATAGAGGGAATTCTGAGCTTGTAGGATACATCCTACTTAATGACATACCAGAAGGATAAAACAAAAACACTATGAACATCTCGACAGATGCAGAAAAAGCATTTGGCAAAATCCACCACCCTTTTACAACAGACTCTACGAGAAAGCAACAGAAGAGAACTTCAACTCAATCAAAGACAGCTAAGAAAAAGTTAACATCACTCTTAACAGTAAAAGATCAGAAACGAGGTGAGGACATTCATTCTCACTTCCATTCAACATTGTACTGGAGGTTCTGGACAGGGCAATCAAGTAAGAAATACACAGAACATCTTAAGAAATTCACTAAAAATCTATAAAAATATAAGCAGAAATAGTTTAAATACTACTAAAATGACTTATTAAAAACTATTAGTTTAGTAAGGTAGTAAGACACAAAAGTCACTAGTATTTCTACAAAAATGCAAATAATAATCCAAAAATGTTATTAAGAAAACAATTCCAGGGCCATCACTGCAGCATAGTGGGTTAAGCCTCCGCCTGCAGTGCTGGCATCCCTATGGGCAGTGGTTGTGTCCTGGCTACTCCTCTTCTGATCCAGCTCTCTGCTAATGCCCCTGGGAAAGCAGCAGAAGACAGTCCAAGTGTTTGGGCCCCTGCACCCACATAAGAGACCCAGAGGAAGCTCCTGGCTTCTGTCTGGCCCAGCCCTTTGCGGCCATTTGGGAAGTAAACAAGTGGACTGAAGACTTTTCTCTCTGCCTCTTCCTCTATCTCTGTAATTCTTTCAAATAAATAAACAAATCTTAGAAAAAAATTCCACTTATTTTTATTCTTTAAACAAACATACATCTTTTTTTTTTTTTTTTGACAGGCAGAGTGGATAGTGAGAGATAGAGAGAGACAGAGAGAAAGGTCTTCCTTTGCCGTTGGTTCACCCTCCAATGGCCGCCGCGGCTGGCACACCGCGCTGATCTGATGGCAGGAGCCAGGTAATTATCCTGGTCTCCCATGGGGTGCAGGGCCCAAGCACTTGGGCCATCCTCCACTGCACTCCCGGGCCACAGCAGAGAGCTGGACTGGAAGAGGGGCAACCGGGACAGAATCTGGCACCCCGACCGGGACTAGAACCCAGTGTGCCGGCACCGCAAGGCGGAGGATTAGCCTAGTGAGCCGCGGCACCGGCCCATATATCTTGAAATTTAAAAAGAAGTGCAAAACTTAATACTCTGCAAACTACAAAATGCTGCCAAAAGAAATTAAAAACCTTGGGGCCGGTGCTGTGGCGCAGTAGGTTAATCTTCCGCCTGTGGCACCAGCATCCCATATGGGCGCCATTTCTAGTCCCGGCTACTCCTCTTCTGATCCAGCTCTCTGCTATGGCCTGGGAAGGCAGTGGAAGAATGCTCAAGTCCTTGGGCCCTTGCATCCACATGGGAGACTCGGAAGAAGCTCCTGGCTCCAGGCTTTGGATCGGTGCAGCTCCAGCCATTGTGGCCATCTGGGGAGTGACCCAGCGGATGGAAGACCTCTCTGACTCTACCTCTCTCTGAAATAGATCCTGTATTAGTGGTGTAGAAGGCTCAATATTGTCAGCAGGGCAATATTTCTAAAACTGATGTAGAAACTGAATGTAAATCTACCAGAATACCACCTGGCTTCTTTGGAAAAACTAACAAGTTGATCCAAAACTCACATGGAAACTCAAGGGATGACCAAAACAACCTTGAAAAGGAACAATGGGCACTCACACCAATATCCAATACAGACGCAGGCTCAAATTCAGGCTGCCCCACTTCCTATCCAGCTCCCTGCTAGTGTGCCTGGGAAGGCAGCAAAGGATGGCCTAAGTTCTTGGGCTCCTGCACCCATGCGGCAGACCTGGAGGAAGCTCCTGGCTCCGGTCTGGCCCAGTCCCCTTTACTGTGGCCATTTCAGAAGTAAACCAGTGGATGGAAGAGCGCTCACTTGCTCTCTCTCTCTCTCTGCAACTCTGCCTTTCAAAAAATAAAATAAATCTTGGGAAAAAAAATTAGGTCTCAGTTTCTGATTTCAAATCTTATTACAAAGATACAGCACCTACTGGTATAAAGATAGCTCAGAATAAAATCAGGTAGCTCTAGTCAACTCTTTTTCTCTCTTTTAAATATTTATTTGAAAGGTAGAGTGACAGATGATACAAAAAGAGATCTTCCATCTGCTGATTCAGCTCAAACGTCTCAACCACCAGGGCTAGCCCAGACTGAAGCCAGGAGCCAGGAGCAAGGAGCTCCGTCCAGGTCTCCAATGTGGGTGGTAGGAACTCAAGTCCTCATCCACTGCCTCCCAGGCCCATTAGCAGGAAGCTGGATCGGAAATAGACTACTTGGGACTTGAACCAGCCATTCTAATATGGGATGTGGGTGTCCCTAGTGGTGGCAGCTTAACCTGCTGCACCACTTGCCTCTCTCTTTCAGCAACCATTCAAGATCATTCAATAGGAAAAGAATCACCTCTCATTTCTCTTTCAAATGATGCTGGGACAACTGGTTATCCACATGCAAAGTAGAGAAGCTGGATCTTTACCTTGTGTCCTTTGAAAAAAAATTAATGACCTAACTGTAAAACTTAACCACACACAATTCTCAGAAGAGAACATAAAGGGAAACCGTCATCACCTAGAATTTATCAGTGGATTTTTAGATGACACTGAAAATTACTTTTTAATTAAAAGGGGGGGGCAGTATTTGGCACAGTGGTTGTCACTGCTTGGGATACCCACATCCCAGATGGAGTGCTTGGTTCAAGTCTTGGCTAATCTCCTTTCAATCAAGCTCCCTGCTAACATGTGTCCTGACAGCCAACAGGTACAAGTATATGGGTCTCTGTGCACACGTGGAAGACCTGGATGAGGTCCAAGCTCCTGGCTATGGCCTGGTTTAATTCTGGCTATTGAAGGTTTCTGAGGTGTGAATCAATGGATGGACGATCTCTCTAATTGTGGTAATGGTTGCAAAACTCTTAATATACTCAACACTGTTGAACTGTCATCTTAAATGGGTAAACAGTATGTGAATTGTATCTCAGAAAAGCTCTCCCAAAAATAATAATTAGAAGTTTTCTATTCATTTCTACTGTATGGAATTTAAAACAAAATACAGAATTAAATACATTCAAGTTATCTGTATAAAGCAACTCCTTGTGGCAACTTCTAAGGAGCTTTCCTCACCCTTCTAGATCTCTCCATGGTTACTAGTTGCTGTTTTTGTTTTACTTCATTGACGGTCAATCTTGCATTTCTATTTTGCTAGCGATTACTCATTTCTCCTAGATTTTCCAAAGTTTTACTAATGTCATTGTGCTCTATCCCCACAGATTCCTCTTCCCTTCTGTCTCTCAGCTCACAGCCCAGGAACCTGCTTGGCAATACCCCCTTGGCCTTGCTGCTGCTAAGGCCAGTGGACTTGTATTGCCTGGCTACTTGGTGGCATTTCCTAGTCCTCACTCTGTGCCCAAGCCCAACCTCTAACCCTGGCTCCCTGAGAATCACGACACTGAGAAAGACCAGAGATGAAGTGCTGAGCACAGAAAAAGGCTACAGGCCCCTGGGGTGCTATCATTGCTCCTAAATCCCACTGGCCTCTTCTAAAATGACGACAGCCAAACCTGTCTTTGGCCAGAACTGGTCCTGGGCCTCTCAGACCTCTCTCTACTGCACAGCCCCCTTCAGCTTGTTCCACCAAGGAGCATCAACTCTGGCGTCCAGTCCACGCCGTGCATTACAGAGATGCCAGGAAACTGGACAAAACAGGTTCATTTTCTCCCCCAAAATGTCCTTCTTGACCAATCACTCCTTCCCCACACCCACAATCTGAACAGCACCAGTGTCCACTGGGTGGCCTGAGGATAAACGCGAGTCATCCCTGGCTCCTGTCCCCTCCTCCCACAGCACAGGCATTCCTGACACCGTGGTCCCCAACCCCTCCACGGAGATGCTGAGGGCTCTAGCTCAACACCCATCAGCCTGCACCTGGAAACCTTGCTGCATAGGGAAGCACGCCCTCAGGACACACGCCCCCGTTTCAGCAACCCCTGTACCATGCACTCCGCCATCTGCCGCCTGTCGCTGCCCCCACACAGTGCACCTCGAGTGCGGTCTCCCAGGAAGGATTCTCACCTCTATCTCCCTCCTACCTGGCCCTGCTTCCCTGCCAGTCCCTGCAGAGGCCTCCGGCCAGCCCCAGGTGGAGGGAGGCCCTGTGGCCACTCACCCTACGGTTTCGGTTGTGTTCCATGGTCTTCAGGTGCTTCTGGATGATGCCAAACTGCATGGGGATGAAGAGGTCACAGGCTGCGCAGTGAGCTGCCTCCACCTTCTTCACGAAGTGCTCCATGGCAATTTCTGCAGGAGGAGAAGCAGGGACTCAGCACTGGTGACTAAGCCAGACCCAGATGCTTCAGAAAAAAAAAAACCAGACCAAGACCAACGATGGGCATCTGGCCAACGGGTAGGACGCCACCTGGGATCCCCGCACCCCCTATCAGAGTTCCTAGTTCTGCTCCCACTTCCAGCTTCCTGTTGACGGAGACCCTTGGAAACAGCAGGTGATGGCTCCAGTAGCCAGGTTCCTGCCATCCACATGCAAGACATGGACTGAGTTTCTGGCTCCTGGTTTCAGCTTAGCCCTGCCCCTGCTATGGTGGGCACCTGCAGTGAACCAGTGACAGCTTGCTTTCTCTCTCTCCAACTCTGCCTCTCAAAAAAAATGAACGAAGACAAAAGCAAAAACAAAAACACAAACCCTCACAAATGAACAGCTCCTCGCCTCGCCTCACCACTTCCAATGGGCCTGCCACTATTCTCATAGACTCTCCCTGAGAAGCAAACAGTAGGCTCTTGAGCCCTGCCTGGTGGGGGTGGGGCTGGGGCCTCCTCACCTTGGGTCAGGTCCTGGTCTCTGTAAATCTGCTGGATCAAACCATCAAGGTCCTCCACCGTTTTGCGGAGCTCCTCTGTCTTCTTGGTTTTGTTGGTGACATATTCCTGCCAGAGACACCGATGTTCGTGGTGGTGGTGGTGGCAATTGTGCCCCTGAGGGGCCCGAGAAGCTCTGAATAGCTATTATGCTGTCCCAAGGCTTACCTGCAGGAAGTCGGCTGTCTGCTTAGGGAGCTTGGTGCCAACGTACTTAAAGTGCTCCTTGTGAAACTTGCTGTCAAGGTGGCTGGCCATCTCGTCCTCGTAGAAGGTGCGGTATTTGCAGAGAGAACACACAAACTGGATCCTGCCACAGGAGGGAAACAAGGGGCTGAGGCTGCACGGGTCCGAGGTCACAGTGTGGCTGCCTCACCCAACCCAGCTGCAAGCCCTGGAACAGGCCTTGCTCACGGGCCTCTGAGGTGCGGGCCCAGTGGAGGGCCAGGCTGGGACCAGTGGGGCTGGGAGGAGAAAGGGACAGAGTCTGCAGGCTGCAGTTACTGCAACGTAGGGGCCAGGGAGGAGCTCTTCCTTCCCACAGGCAGTAGGCGGACGCCTGAGGCAGCAGCTGCGGCAACAGGCAAGGAGTCGCTGGAAGGTTGCCGGAGGGCCTCTCTACCAAGGCTGGCCAGGAGCTTGTGTGCATGGCCCAGCTGGGGACTGGAAGGAAGGATGCCCTGGCGTGAGCCAGGTGGCCCTGAGGCGCAGAGTGGAGCACGCAGTCCCGAGGCCGCGCCCGAAAAGGTGCTGCATCTTCCTTCTGGGGTCTGAGGGGCTCAAAGGCCCAGACCATCCTCTGCTCAGAACGTTTGGGGATGGTGTCGGGAGGGACGGGAGGTGAGCAGGCCTGGGCACCTGCTGCCTCATCTTCCTCTTCCGAGAAGAGACCAGTCTGAGCTGGAAGGAGGGCGCCCTGGAGCCACCCGGGCGAGGTGCTCTGTCTGGGCCTGGTGTCCACAGCAGAAGCCCGGGGTCTGGGGCCTGGGCTGGAGGAGGCCAGCCGCCGCCGAGACCTCGGGGCGGGTCCCTACCTCTGCCGCACGTCCTTATCTGGGCCACGGGGTCAGCTTTGTCTGGAGAGCCCAGGGGCCGGGCGCCGGCGAGGCTGAGGAAGGTCCAGCAAGAGCAAGAGTCTGAGGCGGAGGAGGAGGAGGCAAGCGCCAGTGCGGGAGCCCTGAAGGCAGACAGACCCGACCCCGGCGCGTGAAGGGCTCAGCCGCACACAGGCCCGGCCGGACGGGGCCGGCGGGCAGGGCACAGGGCAGGCCCAAGGCTGCCACAGCCCACAGGGGCCATCTCTCCTGGGCGCGGCGGCGGCCTCAGCAGCTAGTTGGGGCGACACAGGCGCCTTGGACCTTGAGTCTCTGATGAGCTGGCCCCCTCCCTCAGGGGCATCGGCCCCCAGTAACCTAGTGCCGGAGCTTCTGGGCAACGGTGCCGAGCAGGGTCGGATCTCAGGCCACAGTCGCCAGCGGTCGCCAGGCGGCCGCGGAGGGACAGGGGGACGAGCCAGGCCTTGGGAGCTGGGCCTGACACGAAGCAGGGTCCATGCACGGCTGAGCAGGTGGTGGCTCCCAAGGGAGGCCAGAGGGCGGCGAGATGGCAGAGCTATGGCCCTGCTCTCCTGGAGGCAGCCCCAGAGTGAGGCAGAGCAGAGGGTGGAGGGGAAGCCGGTTACCTTTCCACCATACGGTCTCGCTGCCGCTTTTTCTGCTTGTCTTGGCTCTTCTTGCCCGCCTGCAGCTTACGCTTGGCCTGGCCGTTCTCATCCTGGGTGGTCAGGGCCCCTGTGGGAACAGAATGGCACAGTCACCAGCTCAGCTTTGCCAAGACAGGGCAGGTGCTGTGGCCTCTGGCTGAGTCACCCGCTGTCCACTCCAGGGGGTCCTTCTGAGAGCAGCTGCTGTCCACGCAAGGCCTCTGACCACAGGCAAGGCTGGGGACCCTGAGCAGGGCAGGGAGTGGGTCTGGCCTAGGACCGAGGAGAGGGGCACACGCGCTGACCCCTCCACTCTCCAGGACACCCCCACTCTCTGCAGAGTGGGCCACGGGGAGGCTGGAAGGCAAAGAGGGGCTGTCCCGGGGACACTGGCGGCGGGGTGCAGGGACGCCGCTCACATGGCCCTGCCCACCCCCCCACCGGGCACCGCGGCAACAGTGGGCTGAGGCTGGATTTACTGTTAGGTACCTGCTGGCGCTCATCACTCAGGTGGGGGGACACGGACTCCCAACAGGGGCTGGAGAGGCGCTAAGGGAGAGGACACGCAAACCAGAGCCATAAAAACCACACCAAGGGTCCCAGCTCAGACACCAGCCACGGGGGACTTGGAGTGGCACACTGCTGAGGGATGGAGGGCAGGGGGTAGGCCTGGGGCTCCCCACGCTTTGCTTACTGTCCCCACCTGAAGGCAAATCCAGTGTGCCAGGCAGGGGCCACCTCCATCCACAGCCTGGGAAGAACAGTGCAGAGGGGGCAGGGGAGGAAGTGCCCCTGCCAGCACATGCCCAGCCCTGCCAGGGAGTCCCTAGCAGGCCGCGTCTCTGCCACAACCCTGCCCTTGGCAGGACAACCCCGCCCCCCGATTGTGAGCCGCTGGAAGAGCCGGCGCAGCAACAGGCCACGAGACTCACCTTTCTCCAAATCTTCTTTGCCTTCTTCTCTCCCATCTTCTTTTCCCTCCTCATCCTCTCCTTCCTAACACACAATTTCAAAATCCAACTTTAAAACGGTGTAATCATTTTTTTAAAGGCTTATTTATTTATTGGAAAGGCAGAGAGAGAGACAGAGACAGAGAAAGAGAAAGAGGTATCTTCCATCTGCTAGTTCACTCCCCAACTAGCCACAATGGCCAGGGGTGGGCCAAGCTAAAGCCAGGAGCCTGGAACTCCATCTGGGTCTCCCACTTGGCTGGCAGGGGCCCAAGTACGTGAATTTGCAGGGAGCTGGAATAGCTGGGCCTACAAAGGGTGCCCAAATGGGATGCTGGCATTGTAGGAGGTTTAACCTGCTGCACCACCATGCTGGCCCCTGACCTAATCATTTAAAATGGCTCTAAATAACAAGGCCCACGTAGCTACAGGCCAGGAGCTCAATGTCCCAACCTGAGCCCCACCATAAAACCAGTATCTCTGGTTAGGCGGCCAACACATTCCACTGGACAGCACTGCCTTCGGTCGCCACACACATACAGCTTGATCTTCACGGGCCCCGCCTGCAAAGACAACGGGGTGGGGCCAGGGGCCACTTACTGCTCTGGAGCCCTTTTCCACAGCCTCAGGGCCTTCGGTGCCCTCCGCAGCCTCTCCCTCTGTGCCGTCATCTGTAAGGGGAGAGGAGAGGAACTTGGCCCAGGAGCCCCACGGGAGTAGGGGACAGGCCCAGGGCTGCCACTCACCATTGTCTGAATCACTGTTGTCAGAGCCATCCGTCCGGGGGGTCTTGCCATCTGGCTCATCGGGACTGCCACCTTGCTTTCTCTTCTTCTTTTTGGTCTGGGGCAAAAATGGGGGGAGGGGTCAGGTAATCGGGAGGGGGGTCCTATATCCCATCTGGAGGCCAGGGGCAAGGTTGCTCACTCACCCGGAAGTCAGCTGTTGTCCAGGTCTTCCAGGTCCGCCTCATCTGCTTCATGCCATTGCCAAACCCGAAGCCAAAGCGGGAGCCAGCAGGGAAGGCGCCCCCGCCGCGCATGCCCTGGAACATGCCGTACTCAGGGATGATGTTCTGGGAGAAGAGGGAGGGCAGCCGGGAGGCACCAGGCATGCACTGGCCCCGGGCCCCCATGGGGTCTTCCCACATGCGCCCATAGCCTGAGGCCACTGGCCGGCCGCTCCGAGCATCCCGGGCCCAGCCCTGAGCCCTTGGACCAAAGGTGTCGCTGCCACGCATGCGGAACTGGTCACGGTAGGCATCATACTGGCCCTCATAGGCCATTTCCATCTCGGGGTCAAGCTCTCCATAGTCGTAGCCTGACCGGTACAGGTCACGCTCGCTCAGGACGGCCCGCGAGTCACAGGCCTCATAGGAGTCGTATCTGCAGAGACAGTGGCAAGTGTCAGGCAAAGAGCCCCTACAATCTGACACCAGCAGCCGGCCCAAGTTGAGTCAACTGCCCCTGTCATCCCCATGACCTCCCAGTCCTGGGACAGGAAGCCCCGCTCCAGCACCCACTCCACATTGTCAGGGTGGCTCAATGTGCAGAAAGGCTAGGGAAAAAGTTCTGGCCTCTGTGCAACAGTGTTCTAGAAGCAGGAGGGGATTCTCAGCTGATGTCTTCAGAGGGGCCCCACTGCCCCAAGTTCAAATGTGGCTACACAGCAGCATGAGGACGCTAGGAAGGACTGACTACTGGTGCAGAATGTTCTAGTCTCAGTGCACTGTGGCAGCCGAGACCCCAAGCTGAGGCTCGGTGGGCAGAGCTCAGCAGCCCGGCATCTGCATTAGCTGGGTACAGTGAGTGTTCAGCCAGTGTGGTGGATAATGTCCACAAGAAACATGGTGCTGGTCTCCTGCCTCGCTGGGGAAACCCGCACACCCTCAGCCCTTCACCACCCAAGAGAAGTGAGACAAAATGGGGACTGCTGTCCAGGACACACCAGGGACAACCAAGAGTCCCAGCACATTAACCACAGAACCCAGGGTTAGCCAGATCTTCTGTCTAGGAGACAGACAGCAGAGCTGTGGCCTGTGGCCAGAGCCCAGAGCCCAGGGCCTGGATTCCACAGGCCTCCGAGGCGCAGGGGCCCTCCCTGCATTTTCCTCCCCAAACCCGGGTCTCAGGAAGGCACCAGCAGATGGAGGAGCAGCATCCACACTGCCAGTCCTATTACCCTTGCTCCCTTCCAGCTAGGGCAACAAGGTCCATAGCAGGGACTTGAGCCTAAGCCAGCAAGTCCTCTCCCTTGCCCTGCAGCAGCTCTGGGCCTCTCCTGGCCCCACCGGCACCTGGCCAAGCACCTCTGCTCTCTCCCCCACCTCTGTCAGCTAGAGCCATCCAGCAGCTCTCTTCGGTCCAATGCCAGAAATGTGTGTACCCTCCTCACCAGAGGCAACACCAGCCCAGTCAATGGCAGAGGTCCCAGGCCACCACTCACTGGGTGCCTTCAAGCAGGAGTGGGACCTGCCTGTGCTTCCAATCCCCACATGCAAGCAAAGAACACAACAATTCTTCACGTGAGTGGGGGAGGAGTGCTTCCAACAGACACCCGTCTGCAAGGTGCCACAAAGTGACCAGGAGTTACCCACATCTGCCCCACCCTTCTCACCAAGCCCCATCTGTCCTGCCCTGGAGATGCCAAATGGCTGTCCCAGGAGGGAGGGTCGCTGAACACTCTGCTTCTGGGGAGCCATGCTGAGGGTGCAGTGACGCCGCCCAGTCCAGGCCTGCTCCTGCAAGCTGGGGAGAAGCCAGCCACCTGGCAGTGGGTGTACAGCAGGGGTGGGCAAAGGAGACCCAGGTCAGAGCAGGGCAGTGCAACGGATCCCATCAGCAGCAGAGTCTCCGGGAGCCCCAGCAGTGGCAAGCGAGGACGGAGGTAGCAGAGGTGCATTCAGAGAAGATGCCAGCAGACAGGTGGCAGGAGCTGCCCGTGCAGAGCCTCAGCTGCTAGGCAGGCGCCCACTCACCTTTCTCCACCTGAGCCGTACACGCCTCCTTGCATCATGTCTGTCTCCAAGTGCGGCACCATATCTAAGCGTTGGTTAATTCTGGATAAAACGGAATCGGCACTGGTGCTACCCGAGGCACTAGGGTTTGCATTTGTGTCAGAGCTAGGCATTTCCCAAGAGTTTGAAGTGGCCATACCATACCCATAGTTGGTGCTGTTATCCTGGCCATAGCCATAGCCATAACCATAGTTCTCGTAGCCTGCAGTGAGGGAGACAGAGAGACAGAGATGGCGGGGGCACAGACAGAAGCGGCCGACAGGCAGGAACAGAAACAGGCGCATCTTATCACGGAGACAGCCTTGGGGTCCCAGCCATTCCAATTAGGACCTCTCATGACCAAAAGCCAGGGACCCCAAAGCCCTCCCCACACCAAGCTGGGCAGCAACAGGGAACCATAACAGACTCCAGTATCATGGGAATGACACTTGCCTCGGTTTGTCCCAGAGTTCCAAGTTCCATATCCTACAGGAAAAGAAAAGGGCAATTACATCTAAAACTCAAAATGCAGCAAGAGTTAACCCACAGGCAGAAAGAAGCCGTGAGCCTGAAAACCACCCAGACGACCCAAGCTGCTCACCGCCCTGCTGCCTGGCCTACTGCGGCTCTGAGAATGTTGTTAAGGAGCCTCTGGTCCCAACACTCATTCAACGAAGCTGCCTCCCGCTGGAATTAGGAAAGCTCTTGCTGCCCTGGCTAAACACAAACCACAGGAAGAGGTAAGCTGTTTACAGCACCTCATACAGAGTCTATCCACACTGAAATCATGTCACTTAAGTCACCCAATCAAGTCACATGGAGCCCTGGTCGTGCAAGCACCTGCCTTACAGGAGGGAGGCCCAGAACACACTGGGTTCCAAACTAGAATGTATTCTTGTTTTTTTTTTTGTTGTTGTTGTTGTTTTTTTTTTTGACAGGCAGAGTGGACAGTGAGAGAGAGAGAGAGACAGAGAGAAAGGTCTTCCTTTTGCCGTTGGTTCACCCTCCAATGGCCGCCGCTGCAGCCGGCGCACCGCGCTGATCCGATGGCAGGAGCCAGGATCCAGGTGCTTTTCCTGGTCTCCCATGGGGTGCAGGGCCCAAGCACCTGGGCCATCCTCCACTGCACTCCCTGGCCATAGCAGAGAGCTGGCCTGGAAGAGGGGCAACCGGGACAGAATCCGGCGCCCCGACCGGGACTAGAACCCGGTGTGCCGGTGCCGCAAGGTGGAGGATTAGCCTATTGAGCCACAGCGCCGGCCTAGAATGTATTCTTGATCTGATTAAAACACATGATAACAGTTCATTTCTCCAGGATCATGAAGCCATTGAGATCTGACAGTCTCCCAAACACTGGAATCAACCATACATAGATCTCCCCTGGAGGGACTTGAAATAAAAGCTGACCACTATCCCAGTGTCTCTGCTAACATCCCACAGTCACCTCCTATTGCATGACAGCTCTGTCCCTGACAGGACACACCCACCCCAGCGCAGGGGACCAATACGAGTGGGACAGCAGCATGATGAATGCGGAGTCCAGACCACAGGAAAGTGAAAGAAGCTGGAAGGATGAAGCAGGGAGTATGTTGCGCTGGGTGCCTCCACTCCCCAGTGTACAGACAGAAAGGGACGGTGACAGAGGCCAGCCGAGGAACTGCCAACGACCAAGTGTGTGAGCAAAGAGCGATCCTCTCAGGCCAGGGAAACCAACAGGGATTTTGCTTCCATTCATCCACACAACTATCACTTCTGAGCAGAGCTGGTCCCGGGAACTCAGGGTCGAGCACTGCTTGCTGCTGAAGGCAACACTGAGATCCAGACGGCAGCAGGGAGCAGCCACGAGCTGGAAGCCGCATGAAGACAAGTGGCAAAGGTGCCACTCTGACAGGTGAGCTGCTGAGTCACACCGAGGGCAACACAGAGCTAGTCCTAGTAGCTCGGAGGAGCCCGGCAACGTGGCTGTACTGTGGACAGTGGACACTGACCATCATAAAGCAGCCACCGCTGGGGCTCCACCGTGCAGCTAGTATATGGGCACCCCAGGCTGCAGCTGCCAAGGACCTGTCAGGACGCAGAGTACAGCAGCACAAGGAAAGACGGCAGGAGTGGGCACCAACTCTGCGGACCGAACTTTCCGTTTCAAGGACAGGTAGGTGGCCTCCGTGCTATGCCTGGGGCAACCCAGACTTTCTGACAAACGCCACCCTGAAGGCCCTTCAGGAGGAAGCCTGCATCTAGACTGTAGCCTCTGGGGACGCTCCAAGATACACCCCTTCTTCTTCTTCTTCCTAAGATTTATTTATTCCTTGGGAAAGGCAGAGAGACAGAGATCTTCTAGCTGATGCTTTATTCCCAAGGGCCCACAACAGCTAGGGCTGGGCTAGGCTGAAGCCTGGAGGCAGTAACTCACTCTGACTCTCCCACATGGGTGACAGGGTCCCAATATCTTGAGCCATCACCTGCTATCTCCCAAAGTGTGTGTTAGCAGGAAACTGCAATCAGAAGAGGAGCTGGGACTCAAACCCAGACACTCCAATAAAGAATGCAGGTATCCCAAGAGGCATCATTTTTTTAATAAGCTTTAAAAAAAAAGGTTTATTTATTTATTTCAAAGGTTACAGAGGGGCCGGCGTTGTGGCTCAATAGGCTAATCTTCCACCTGCAGCACCGGCACACTGGGTTCTAGTCCCGGCTGGGGCACCGGATTCTGTCCCGGTTGCCCCTCTTCCAGTCCAGCTCTCTCCTGTGGCCCAAGAGTGCAGTGGAGGATGGCCCAAGTCCTTGGGCCCTGCACCCGCATGGGAGACCAGGAGAAGCATCTGGCTCCTGGCTTTGGATCCGCGTGGTACACCGGCCGCAGCGGCCATTGTGGGGGTTAACCAATGGAAAAGGAAGGCCTTTCTCTCTGTCTCTGTCCATTCTGCCTGTCAAAAACAAAGGTTACAGAGGGAGGAGACAGAGCGAGATCTTCCATCCTCTCGTTCACTCCCCAAATGGCCATAACAGCTAGAGTGGGGCCGATCCAAAGCCAGGAGCTTCTTCTGGGTCTCCCACTTGGGTTCAAGGACCCAAGTACTTGAGCTATCTTCCACTGCGTTCCAAGGCACATTAATAGTGGAGCAGCTAGGCCTCAAACCAGTGCCCATAAGGGATGCCAGCACTGCAGACAGCAGCTTAACCTGCTACGCCACAGCACCTGCCCCTTTAATAAGCTTTTTTTTTTTAAAGATTTATTTATTTGAAAGTCAGAGTTACACAGAGAAGGAGAGGCAGAGAGAGAGAGAGAGAGAGAGAGAGAGAGAGGGAGGGAGAGGGAGGAAGGGAGGGAAGGAGGGAGGGAGGGATGGGTCTTCCATCCGCTGGTTCACTCCCCAGTTGGCTGCAACGGCCGGAGCTGCGCAGATCCGAAGCCAGGAGCTTCTTCTGGGTCTCCCACATGGGTTCAGGAGCCCAAGCACTTGGGCCATCTTCTACTGCTTTCCCAGGCCATAGGAGAGAGCTGGATTGGAAGTGTAGTAGCCAGGACTTGAACTGGCACCCATATGGGATGCCAGCACTGCAGGCGGTAGCTCTACCTGCTCCGCCACAACACCGGCCCCTTTAATAAGCTTTTAAAGATATTATTTTTAAAATAGATTTTATTCATTTACTCAGATGAGTTACTGAGAGATAGGGATCTTCTGTCTGCTGGTTCACTCCCCAGATGGCTGCAACAGCCAGAGCTGGCATAGGCTAAAAACCAGGAGCCAGGAGCTTCTTCCGGGACTCCCAGTGGGTGGGAGGGGCCTGAGGACTTAGGCCACCTTCTACTGTTTTTCCCAGCCATTCAGGGAGCTGGACTGGAAGTGAAACAGCTGGGACACAAACTGGAGCCCATGCAGGATACCGGCATTGGAGGCAGTGGTTTCATCTGCTACACCACAACATTGCCCCCCCCCCGCCAAAAGGCATCCTAACTGCTACACCAAACACTCACCCCAGGATACCACTTTTTAAAAGAAAAGATGAGGCCAGTGCTATGATGTAGCGGACAAAGCAGCCACCAACAGTGCTAGCATCCCATATGGGCACAGGTTCGAGTCCCGGCTGCTCCATTTCCAATCCAGCTTCTTGCTATGGCCTGGAAAGCAGCAGAAGACGACCCAAGTCCTTGGGCCCCTGCACCCATGTGGGAGACCGTCGGAGGAAGCTCCTGGCTTCAGATCAGTGCAGATCCAGCCATTGTGGCCAACTGGGGAGTGAACCAGCAGATGGAAGACCCCTCTCTCTCTCTCTGCCTCAATCTGACTTTCAAATAAATAAATCTCAATGAAATATAATCGTGAAAATACATATAGAAGAAGAAGAAGAAAGGAAATGGCCACAGTAAGTGATATTTACAGACTAAAAATAGAACATTTAAGTGTTACACTTTATGGGGGTGGGCACTCAGTCCAGTGGTTAAGAAGGTGTTGGCATGGTGGGTAAGCACCACACAGCCAGGACCGCCCGGCTCCAGCTACTGAGTCCAGTTTCCTGCCACGGTGTGTCCTGGGAGGTAGCAGTGCTGACTCACAGCTGGGTTCCTGCCACCCCCATGAGAGGCCTACATGGAGTTAGCAACTTGTGTCTTCAGTACTCAGGCTGCTGCAGGCGTTCGGAGAATGAACCAGAAGATGAGTTCCTCCCACCTGCAACGACTTCACTGACAAAAATGCTTTTTAAGATGCCAGTGAAGATGTTCGTATTCCACGTCAGAGTCCCTGCATTTGACACCTGGGATCGGCCCAGGCTGGTTCTGGCCATTGTGAGCATTTAGGTAGTGAACAAGTAGACAGCAATTTTTTCTTTTCTCTCTCATAAAACAATGACTAAGAGAAGAATTTATTGTATCTCACGTAGCACAGGAAAATGCTTATAACATAGCAAAAAAGAAAAAAAAAGGATACATAACTACCTACCTGTAAATTATTCTATTACATAAGCCAGGCAAGCTGACGAAGATTAAATATTAAAATGGCAGGGTCTGATCAGTTGGCTGATTTTCAAAATAGTTTAAGTGCTATTATATTGTTCTTGTAATTTAAGCCAGAATATCCCAAAACAAAGTCATCCTCATTCTTGCACAACAACTGCCTACCTAAGAAAACAGCCTTGGGGCTGGCATGGTAGCACAGTGGGTGAAGCTGCCACATGCAACACTGGCATCCCATACAGGCAACAGTTCACGTCCTCTTCCACTCCAGCTCCCTGCTGATGGTCTGGGAAAGGCAGAAGACAGCCCAAGTGTTTGGGTCCCTGTCACCCACATGAGACACGCAGATAAAGCTTCTGGCTTTAGGCTTCACCCAGCCCTGGCCATTGTGGCCACCTAGGGAGCAAACCAGCAGATGGAAGATCTCTTTGTCTTTCCCTCTTCTCTCTGTAACTCTCTTTCAAATAAATAAGATATTCTCAAAAAAATAAATACATGATAAAAACACCCTACTAGAGTAAGTAAACTTGGCAAGATTTATTACAAAGCCAATATACAAATCAAACAGCAATCAAATTTCTATATATTAATAATGAAAAATTGTAAAAGTACCACTTACCATAGCACTAAAAAAAAAATCTGAAATACTAAGTATAAACCTAATAAAATATATGTAGGATCTCTGTGTTGAAACTTTATAAGACATTAAGGAAAGAAATGAAGGACCTGAAGACTCACATGCAATGAAATACTATGTTCATGGACCTGGAAACATGACATTTTTAATATATCAAATCTCCCAAACTAATCTCTATAGTCTACAGATCCATCAGAATCTACAAACGCAAGGCTATCTCCCCTAAATCTCAGCAGAAATTTTTAATAAAAACAAACTGATTCTAGGCTTTATATACAAAAGCAAAGGAATTAAAATATCCAAGACAATTTTGGAAGAACAAACCTCGTACTCACTACCCAATAATGAAGACACTGGGATCCTGGAGAAAGTTTAGATATAGAAGTCAACTGAACAGAAACGGAGGCCGGGACCAAAACTACAACAGTCACCTGTGCGGAGGTGCAAATGTTGTTTGGTACAGGAAGGACAAAAGGTGCCGGGACACTTGTGCCTCCCACAAAGGAGACCCTGGAACTGTCTATCCAGCCCCCTCTGCAGAGAAACTAACTTGAAATGGACCACAGACCAAATATAAAACCTAGTACACATAAACCCTGGAAGAACACCACTGTGACCTTGGGTCAGGCATAGGCTTCTTAGACACCAAACATCACAGTGCACTGCAGAAAGACGGGTCCAATATGACTGCATTAGAATTAAGAGTCTGTGTTCTTTGAACCACACTGACAAGAGAATAAAATGGTGAGTCACTGTGTGGGAGAAAATATTTGCAGACGGCACCTCCAATAAAAGGCTTGTGCCCAGGACATAGAAATGCTGGAAGAAGATTTTTTTTAAAAGATGCTCACTTTGGGACTCCGTTTAATATAAACTACCCATCTCAATAACCCAGACACTCTCCTTACTCATTCCAAAGAGAGCTCCTTCTCAACAGACACCCCTGGGGTCAGAGGTCACTGCGATACCAGCTGCATCCATTCCAGGGTGCCCCAACATGTTAACAAAGCAGTACCTGTGAATACTGCTGGGTGGCTACTTCTGGATTACAGAATTAAGTGTATCTGGCCACACTCCGAAAAATCAGAGATTCCCAGTCAACCCTGTGTGTGAGATCAGTTGGCTTGAGGGGGTCTCGGGGTCTCTCTTCTAAAAGCCTGCTGGTTTCACATCTAAGCCTCTCCTACAGGGGGACCTACAAGGTACAGGGGCAAAGCTTTTTTTTTTTTTTTTTTTTTTTTTTTTTAATTTGAAAGGCAGAGTTACAGAGACAGGGAGAGAGAGAGAGAGAACTTCCATCTACTGGTTCATTTCCAAAAAGGCCACAACTGCCTGGGCTGGGCCAGGTGGAAGCCAGGAGCCTGGAATTCCATCCAGGTCTCCCATGTGGGTTCTGGTACCTAAGCACTTGGGCCATCATGTGCTGCTTTCCCAGGAGCATTAGTGGGGGACTAGATCAAAAGTGAAGCAGCCAGGACTTGAACTGGTGCCCAGGTGCCAATAAGGGATGTTAGCATCCCAGGTGGTGGCTTAACCCACTGCACCACAACGCCAGAAGGGCATCTCTTGGACAAATCCTTGGGAGTGTAACTGACCTTTTTCCCAGGCCTTCAAGGGGATTTTCTAGAACTAGACCTTTTGTCAAAGAGCACAGATTCACGTGTGTGCATGCACGCCTGTATGCTGGGCTTAGCACTAAAGATGTGGAGTGAGATCCCTGCATCCCCCACAGAGTATGGATTCGATCCCAGGCCCTGGCTCCTGACTCCAGCTTCCTGCTAATGCAGACCCTGGGAGGCAGTGGTGATGGCTGGAGTTTGAGTTCCTGTCCCCCATGCAGGTGACCCAGACTGCGTCTGGGTTCCTGGCTTCAGCCTCGCCGACAGCTGTTGTGGACATCAGGGGAGTGAACAAGGAGATGTGAGCAAGCTCGCCTGTACTCTCTCTTGCTTTTTCTCTCTCCTTCCTTGTGTCCTCTGCTGAAAAGAAAGAAAGAAACCGGGGGGGGGGGGGGGGGCACACACGTACTTCGGATTGAAGGAATCAATCACTTACGTTCTAGCTTGCTCACTGACACAGATCTCTCTTCCACAACTGTCCCCAAAAGAAGCACTAGCCCACTCTATCAATTCACCCACGGTTCGGTTCAGAAAAGCAGGGCAGAGTGACAGCAAAGCCACAGGCAACTAAGAAGACGCAGGACTGCTCTGCCAACAGAAGAAGGCAGAGCCCCGGGGCCCCCACTTACCATAATCACAGGTGGGCTGGGCACTGCTGTCGGAGTATGTCGACTGCAAGGTGGTCTCAGATCCCTGGACAAAACCTAAACATACACATGGAATGGTTAATTTCCCCCACCAAGCTGCAGGAAAATGACCCAAAACCACCCTTTAACACAGCCAGGCTGGCAAGCCCTCCCCTCATTGCAAAGCTACCAGAACCTGTAGAGTCCACACTTGAGTAAGACCCTCAGAACGTATAACCAACAGGAAGAAAGGCAAACTCCTTAACTGTAAACACATACGTCAGCAACACATTTTGACAAATGAGTACCCGGATTACCATTCTTTTTTTTTTTTTTTTTTTTGACAGGCAGAGTGGACAGTGAGAGAGAGAGACAGAGAGAAAGGTCTTCCTTTGCCGTTGGTTCACCCTCCAATGGCCGCCGCTGCAGCCGGCGCACCGCGCTGATCCGATGGCAGGAGCCAGGAGCCAGGTGCTTTTCCTGGTCTCCCGTGGGGTGCAGGGCCCAAGCACCTGGGCCATCCTCCACTGCACTCCCTGGCCATAGCAGAGAGCTGGCCTGGAAGAGGGGCAACCGGGACAGAATCCGGCGCCCCGACCGGGACTAGAACCCGGTGTGCCGGCGCCGCAAGGTGGAGGATTAGCCTATTGAGCCACGGCGCCGGCCTCGGATTACCATTCAATTCAACGAGGAAAAACAACACTCACTGCAAAACTCTGAAAGGTGGGCATTTTCCATTCTAATCCGGAGGTGGCGAGTTCTGCAATGATGGGATAGCCAACAAAACCTCCTCCCCTGCCTCAAATCTAAAGCAGACACGGCTGTGTATTCTAGCTTTCCCATTCTGGGGTGGGCACTTGGGGCAGCTGCTATGGCACCCACCTCCCACACTTCCTGCTAATGCATGCCCCAGGAGGCGGCTCTGATGACTCCGGTACTTGGGTCCTGGAGACCCAGGTGGGACACCCAAGATGGGGACTGAGCTCCTGGCTCCGGGTTTCAGCTTGGCCCAGGGCTGGCTATTGCAGAGATTTGGGGAGTGAACCAGGGGAGAGATCTCTGTGTTTCTCAAACAATAAATAAATAAGGTATATTGTCATTATTTGGGGGATGGTGTGTTTCCATGGAACACTGTAAGTATTACACTACATACAGATTGAGCATCCCTAAGCTGAACATCCAGAACCCAAAATGTTCCAAAGTCCAAAATACTTCAAAATCCGGTAACAAGGGCTTCACATAAAGAGCTGGGGACTCACCTTTGTCTTTACATGCTACAGGAGGGAACTAGACAAAGGGTACAGAGAAAATAGAAGTCTGCCTTCTGTAATTAAAGAGAGTGCATAAGGGCCAGGCACTGTGGCCTAGCGGGTAAAGCCACTGCCTGTAGTGCCAGCATCCCATATGGGCACCAGTTTGAGTCCCAGCTGCTCCACTTCCCATCCAGCTCTCGGCTGTGGCCTAGGGAAGCAGTGGAACATGGCCCAAGTCCTTGGGCCCCTGTTACTCGTGGGAGACCTGGAAGAAGCTCCTGGCTTTGGATTGGCACAACTCTGGCCATTGCGGCCATCTGGGGAGTGAACCAGTGGGCAAATGGAAGATCGGTCTCGCACTCGCTCTCTCTCCTCTGCTCTCTGTAACTCTGCCTTTCAAATAAATAAATAAATCTTTTTTTTTTAAAGTGCATAAAAATGACCTCTTCCAGGGGACCTGGAACTTGCCTGCAATGCTGAAGTTCCAAGCACTTATGATGTAATAACTATCCACAAGAACACTGAAGGCGTTCTTTGGAGAGTCCACTCCCAAGTCTTGGAATGTACCACGTACCCGGCCCCTGCCTTTTCCACTGCTCGTACAGTAGGACACAGCAGCGGCTATGTCCCAAGCCCCCTGGCAGCTGCCTGGAACCGTGGATGGTACGGAAGCCCTGCATACATGCGTTAGTTCCCTTAATGCATGGGCCTTCTCACTGAAAGAATGCACTTCACAGCTTCTCCTTAGTGCGCCCAAACTGCACGCATCAGTACACTCCACGTCTGGGGGCGTGACCAAACCCAGTCACCTGAACCCTGAACCCTCACTGCAACATCACTGTGGTGGAGCTGGCTATGTGTCCGCTGTGCAGGCAGCAAACACAGGGCGGACAGAGGCGGACTTCCACACTGCTCAGGATGGCATGTAATTTCAAACTTATGTGTTACTTCTGGAATGTTCCATTTAGTATTTTTGGCCCCCAGTTGATAAGAGAGACAACCAATGCCTATCACACCCTAACAGGAACACCTAGTGGATGCTGTAAGCAAGTTGCAAAGTTACAGCCCCAGGGTCTTTCTGGAGAAAAAGGAAAAAGACAATCGGTCAAGGCTATCAACCCTCCCAGAGCACGATGAAAATCGCTGTCCTCCCACTGTCCTCCGCATGTGTTCTGGTAACAGTCTCCACGGCAGGCCCTCTGTAGCCAGTTATAGCTCATTACGAACAAATTCTTAACTGGCTCATAACATGTTCTTTTCTTGGTCTGATTTACCAGCCTGACAGTAATGGCAGCGAAAATAAAATAGGCCCCACTAGGCCGGATAAAGTTCAGGGCCTCTGCCACCTTTCTGCTCAACAACACAGGAGCATCTTTGGTCCTGTTATTTTGTTCCTGCCCCCCCCCCCTTAAAGTAATACTCTTTGAAGGAACAATACACCATGACAGAAATTAGAGGATAGCCAGGATTCAGTTAAGTCACCGCCAACCTCTACTATCCGAGATCAAGAGCAGGGAGGCAACCATCCTGGGAGGGTCTCCAATGATTCTTGCCTCCTTGTACAATGTAGACCCCCTCCCCAAACTAAGAAAGGCAACCAGTATAACCAACATGATCTGGGGGAAGGAACTGGCCGTGTGGGACTTCTGAGATCAGCACCTCGCTATTTCTTGGCTCACTCAGTCTGGGGGAAACCATTGTAATGTCCTGAGGCCACCTCCAGCAGCCCCGGGGGGTGCAGCCCTCATCCCCGGCATAATCTCATGGGGATCCTAAGCCAGAATCACCCAGTTAAACCACCTGAGCATTCCTAACACAAGCAAGCTGTGAGATAACACATGTTTACATAAATCAAACAAGAAAACCAACAACACCTCCCTTTCCCAAGCATAGAGCAAGGTAAAACTTTTTTTTTTTTTTTTTGACAGGCAGAGTGGACAGTGAGAGAGAGACAGAGAGAAAAGTCTTCCTTTGCCGTTGGTTCACCCTCCAACAGCCACCGCGCTGATCTGATGGCAGGAGCCAGGTACTTATCCTGGTCTCCCATGGGGTGCAGGGCCTAAGGACTTCACTGCACTCCCTGGCCACAGCAGAGAGCTGGCCTGGAAAAGGGGCAACCGGGACTAGAACCCGGTGTGCCATTGCCGCAAGGTGGAGGATCAGCCTAGTGAGCCGCCGCGCCGAAGGTAAAACTATTTGCAACACGTTTTTTGCTTGATAAAGACAGCAACATCTGCTCCCAGGAGTCAGCCCAAAAGCCAGGCAGCTGTCTGAACCATGACACAAGCTGCCTGCGAATTCAGCCGTCTGTGTCTTCACAGGGAAAGACACAGCATAAAGCAACTTGGGGTTTTCCAGTGTTACCAAGAGGGGCTGGTGCTGTGGTGTAGCAGGTAAAGCTGCCACCTGCAGTGCTGGCATCCCATATGGGCGCCGGTTCGAGTCCCAGCTGCTCCATTTCCAATCCAGCTCCCTGCTATGGCCTGAGAAAGCAGTGTTAGATGGCCCAAGTCCTTGGGCCCCTGCACCCACATAGGAGACCCGGAAGAAGCTCCTGGCTTCGGATCGGCACAGCTGCACCATTGGGGCCATCTGGGGAGTGAACCAGCAGATGGAAGACCTCTCTCTCTCGCTCTTCTCTGCCTCTACCTTTCTGTTAACTCTGCCTTTCAAATAAATAGATAAAAAAAAAAAAAAAAAAAGAGAGAGAGAGTAAGGAGACACCGGCAGTCTATCTCGAGCCCCACTTGCCCAGCCAAAACCAGCATTATACGGACTGCACAAGACCTGGAGCTGGAATTCAGACTTTGCCATTAGCGAGTGCTCCAATTCCAGTTCCTCGTCTGTAACAAGTGCCCCATCAGCCTCCAACCACTCATTTTCTGGTCTCCTAAACACACGGGCACCACGGGGGAACACCGGAGGATTCCCGAGCGGCACCCTCAGCCTCATCCACTAGATGTCAGTAGCAGCCCCTCCCCCAGACGTGACAACCCAGAAAGTCTCCAAGACGCGGCCAAACCTCCCCGGGTGGCGCGGGGGCAGAACCGCTCCCGGTGCTGGGCTGGGGGCGGAGGTGGGGGTGCGGGGCTACAAAAACCTTCCCGCCTAGGCCAACATCACGAGGGCTGCAGGAGCCTCAGAGGCTCCGGTTCGAGCCTCAGCCCCGAACAAGAGCAAACGTTCCTAGGAGAACGCAGGGTCACCCAGCAACCACGCATGCCCAAGCCCGTGGCCGCTCCGCCAAGGGGTCTCCGGCCTAGCCCGCGGCTCCTGGCTGGCGGGGCTCCCTCCATCACTGTCAACGCAAACCTGGGCGGCCTCGGCTCGGGCCGCCCCTCTCCGCCAAGCCCCACTGGCCTCCCTAGGGCGAAGGTCCTTCCCTCATAGCCAGACGTCCTCACTCTCGCTCCACTTCGCTCTCTGCTCAAACCGCCACCTCTTCCGCGAGGCCTCCAGGCTTGCCCGGCCACGCAGCAACCCCCTCCGAGCACTGTCGACTGTCGACCCCCGACCCCATGCACTTGCTACTTCAGAGATATGCCTTCCACCGTCCTCCCAGCGCCCCCTCCCCCAGTACCCGGGCGAATGTTGGCTTGAATGGACGTGGAGGACGTCCAGGCCTCGGCCTCGGCCTCGGCTCCAGCTCAGCCCCAACCCTTCGCCGTATTTACGCGATTTCCCCCCGCGCCTCTCCCAGCTCCGGCGCGGGCGAAGGGAAGGTGGGCGGCCGGAAGGCAGGGGAGCGGCGGCGTTCTACAGGGAAAGTGCGGGGGAGGCCGCAGCAATGGCGACGGCAAGCCGAGCTCGCCGAGCCCTCCGAGGGGTCCCGAGGCCTGCCCGAGAAAGCGCAAACCCGAGGCGTCGAGGTGTGAGGAGCCCCGGCCAGGGGTGGAGGTGGCGGGAGGCTCGGGGGGTCCGCGGACGCCAGGCGGCGAGCAGAGGAACCAAGGCGCCGTCGAGGAGCGAGGGGCGCGACCCGAGCCGACTGGCCCGAGGCGCCATTTTGTGACCGGAGAGAGGGCAACGACCGGGGGCCCCGAGCCGGGGAGGGGGTTGGGGGGCGTGGGCAAGCCAGGCTCGACCACGGCGCGACCCTATCCCGCCCCTCATTCAGAGCCCGCCCCCACGCCGCCAGGCCCACCTGTGTAGCTCATGGGTGCGGCGAACACTAGACCAGAGGACTCAACAGCTTCTCTGCGCGACTGACTCTGCTATAGCGGCGACAACCCCAGGGGCCCCCTTCTACTCTCAGCCGAGCCCCGCCTCCCGACCGCATTGGCTAGTGCCGGCTTCGGAATTCACACCTATTGGGCGGCCTCACTGTCTATCTCGGTGCTTCCCGATTCTACTGATTGAAGACACTGCCAATCTCATGGGATCCCCGCCTTCCGTTATCCCAAGCCCGCGTTGATTGGCCAAGCCGAGCCGGCGAGGAGGGGGCGTCCTGTGGAGTTCGAGGGGGCGGAGTTGTGCCCTACGGGAAGGCCCGAGGCTCAAACGCAGCTGGTTGGGGTGGGACGGAGGCGCGCCTGTGCCGTGGAGACCCGGCAGAGGGAGCCGGGTCTTCCGTGCCGTCTGGAAACCCAGCTCTGACACGGAGGTGCTATGCAAACTTGGGCTCAGTCTCTTCATTTCCCTGGCCTTCAGCTCCAAGCCATGTTGGAATGAGAAAATTAAAATTAAGCACCAGAGCAGCTGTTGAGCGTGTTCAAACATTACATGAGGTAACAGAGACGAAGCAATCCGTCCAGGGCCAGGTGCACGAAGTCATGTCGTTTTATTAATCATTAAATAACGGCAATGCACTTGCCGTATGTGCATACCGTGTTCGTGTTATGTATGTGGTAAGTCAACTTGTATTGTGTATCATCTCAGATGCTGCCGGGGTCATCTCCTAAAGTTTTAGATGATTTGAGGAGGTGCGGACACTGAAATTAATACTGTGTCACTACGATGTACAATTATGTGGTTTTTTTTTTTAAGTATGCTGTTGTTGACCTTTTAGCTTAGTTTTTTTGTTTTTTTTTTTTTTAGTTTTTTAAATTTATTTATTTGAAAGGCAGAGTGACAGAGAGACAGAGAGAGGGATCTTTCCATCTACTGATGCACATCCTAAATATCTACAACACGCAGCGCTGGGTCAGGCTGAAGCCAGGAGCCCAGAACTCCATCCAGGTCTCCCATGTGAGTGGCAGGGATTCAAGCACTTGTGCCCTCATCTGCTGCCTCCCAGGCTCATTGACAGGAACCTGGGTCAGAAGCAGAGGTGGGACTGGATCCCAGCCACTCGGATGTGGGACCCAGGTGTCCCAAGCGGTGGTTTAACCCACTGCCCCACAATGCCTGCTCCCACTGCCGACTCTGAGGGGTATCCATC